TTTGTTTGTCGTTCCGAGGGTGCATGTACGTTTGTGCTTGTGATACTGTTGAATATGATGCAGGAAGGATGTTTGTTCAGACAAGGACCTGACTCAGACATGTTTGTGTCGCTGTTGTCGGCGGTGTCTCTCACATGCCAGGATTGGAAGGATGCCAAGTCTGAAGGAAGGTATTACGACGCCATGTTTTCTTTCTTGGGGTTGAAATGGAGCGAAACAGCAATTCGAATGGCCTCCGTTGAACTCGAGGAAGTCCGTTTCACGATCAGTGGTATGAAGTGGCGGGAGGGGCAGACTATTGAGCCAGCGCAGCCTCGGCCTGACCAGCCTGGTGACCAGCCCCCTGGGCCTCCTCCTGGCGAGTTGGATGAGCATCGTGATCTTGATGACGAAGGGCTTCGCCTACTTCGGGATGGTGCAGGTGCTCAGGCTTTCTATGGCCAGGACGACGGCGATGGTCCATCGGGGGACGGGGCAGGCGAGCCAGGCGGTCGCAGGGCAAACCTTGAACCCACAAGAACTCACAAGAACTCCAGAGGACTCCAGATAGCTCCAGAGGGCTCCAGAGGGGAGGGAGAAGGGGGGGAGGGATGGGGGACGTTTCATAGGACTTGGCGTTCTCAGGACCAGGATGCATGTCAAACGACTTTCCATTCCAGAGGTCCCAGGAGGAAGGTTTGGTTTGTTCCCATAAAGGCGGGGCCAAGCAGCTCCACGCTGATCTTAAGGTCTGGGCAACCAAAGCTGGTATCCTGAAGGACGCGCTCGCAGCAGTCGAGGCTGATCCCAGTATGCATGACGAGGAGAAGCTTGCAGAGGCAGTGCGTGGTTTGGAAGGGCTTGAACAATCTCTTGGCCTCGGTCTTCGTACTGACCCACCCGCATCAGCGCCACCACCGAGTACTGGGGCCAGTGCACTTGATTGGTTGATCGAGCATTGGGCGCCAGGAGTCATCACTACTCTAGAAGCTTTCCAGGAGGTGTCTAACCCATTCAATCTCATACCAGTATCAGCAATGGTGCGTTTGATTGAGAGGCTACTGCGCGCAAGCGAGCACGACGGCGGCAACGAGTATGCGGTCGAGTGGTGGAGGGTCGATGAATGGAACGCTGATCTGCCCTTGCTGAAGGCCAGCCAGGCCATGCCCTGTCGATAAGAGGGGCTGTCCGTCATATGTTACACCTGATCAAAAGAAACATTTGTCTGATGCACTTTCTCGAGGGGAGGTTCAACTGCTTATGCCGAATACACGACACCGCATCATCAGGAACAAGGATATGTGGCATGCACCCGAGCCCCACCTTCGTGTGCTACGCAACTTTCGTCTTGCCCGTCTTGAGGCGGCAGCTGGTGCACTTACAGAGCTGGGGCAATGTTGCGTGTGCCACCACGAGTGCGACGAATGTGTGTGTCCTTTGTGTGGTACTCGTTCACATCCTGATTATATGGGTGACTTATTTCTTGGTGTGTCAAACCAGGAGTTTTGGGTTACTCACGTATGCACTGGCACCGCAGATAACGTTGCTCACCGAGGTGCACTACTGTCTCATTTCAAGGCAGAGCAATCTATCAGCAAGGATTTGCGGCTGTTTGTTGGCTGCTTATGTGTGGCCTGTGCTTTACTTGCAACCGCAGAGAATGACATGTGAGTACACGTGCATTGTTGCATTTCAACACGATAAAAAGCATGTTGACCCAGAATTGTGTCATCGGTTCCCCATGTCCTGATAAGAATACCATTGGGCCCCATTAGACCTTGGAGGCACCCTTTGACCGTCTTGGAGACCTTATTGGGGCTATGTTGGGCTCTCGCGGGGTCACCTTGGCCATCGTGGACGCATCTTGGAGGCCATCTTGGGCTCCCTTCTCCTCATTCTGGGCACTCCCACCTCTTCCGGATCCCTCATGATGTCTTTTTTAAAAGTGTCTTCCTCGAGCTCGGAACGGTCGAGATTTCAGACAGATCGAGCCACCGCGAGACCCCCACTAGGGACTTGGAGGCGAGTGGGGGGGGGGTCACTAGGGACTTGGAGGGTAGTGACCCCTGCCACTAGTGAGATATCACTAGTCACCCCCCTCCCCCCCGCCACTAGTGAGATGTCACTAGTCACCCCATCCACTCTCCTCCAAGTCCCTAGTGACCCCCCCCCCCCACGCGCCTCCAAGTCCCTAGTGGCCCCTCCCCGAGAGGGTTTCACAGGGTGGTTTCAGTCGGGTTTCGGAACGGCCCCAGACACAACAAAAACAATGTTTTCGACAAGGGGTTGCTGGTTTATTCCAGGGGGTGGGGACACATACACGCGATATACTTGCATACATATGGAGGGGGGAAGACGAGGAGGTGAGGTTGCATTGCGAACAGAACACGGTCACTATTGCTAGACATCCTTTCCCATAGCCGCTACCAAGCAACAAAGTCTGACCCGATTGAGTTTGCCAGCTTGACACTGCGGCTTCTTCGCGGCAGGATACATGATGTCGGGAGTCCGCGGAAGCGGGCTCGCACGTGCTCTTGCTGCTTCGAAAGGTGGGCCAAAAGATATTGATTCTCAGAATTCTCCCCCCTGTTGAATCTGATCACAGCCCAACCAAGTTCAAGAAATAGAGCAGTGCCTCTTCGGCGTCTGCGAGATATGGTGGAGCGGTTGGGCGAGTGCTCGTTGATCGTGTGAATGAAGACTACATTGATCAAAAAGGCGCGTGGCTGGAACTCTTCGACAAAGACGGCAAACCACTTCTCTCAAGACACGAACTCAACCATCGGAACCAGGTTGGCACGCGTGCCAAATACAAGGCAGCGGTGCTGAGTATCGGTTACAAACCGCGCTCGAGGAACGAGATGATTGCAGCAACAATTGGTAAAGGTAGCGATCAGTATTGGATTCTCTCGGGGGCCCACCTGGCTGAGGCGATGCACGACGCCTGTTCAGGAGATCTTACGAATAAGCAGGTGGGGGCTTCCATCAAGGGCGGAGTGAAGGCGTCAGTCTTGGACTACAGGACACCAGAGGATATTCTAGAACACTTCAAAGAAGATGGCAACGCACTCAACCACATGTCTGGTCAGATTGCGTGAACCGAGATTATCGCCGACTGCCCCCGCGCCCGAGACAAGTGGAAGGCCGATCGGAAAGCCACGGCGGGTGGCCAGGCCGAGTCCGACGATGCAGACGCCCCTTGTGAACAAGATGATGACCAAGCCAAGCGCGGCAAGAAAAAGTTTGATAACAACCAGTATGAGAATTACTACTCCACGTTCTTTTCCAAGCATTTCCCTGGCTACTTCCCGAGAGGCTTCAACCAATTTGACATGTGCAGGCGTTGCTCCAACAAACTGAAGGACCATCCTGATATGCGGGATGAGCTTCGCCATTGCTGCGACTAGCACTGCGTGTACTCGGAGCCCAAGTTGATCAACGCGGATGTCTGGTACCTGCTCGACAAACTCATGGGCAAGCTCGAGGAGCATGGGCTGTGTGACCACTTGATTACCATATTCAAGTATTGCGTTCCGACGAACGATGGGGCGGCGCGGCTTGCGAAAGAAAGGAAGGGCTGGCGCAAGCTTCTCGCTTTGTTCGTTCCGATGTCCATTGGGGCAGCAAGGCCAGGCGACAAGACCAAGGTTGCCAAGCTTGCAGAGAAGGCTGCTCAGAAGAAAGCATTCAATATCAAGGTGCTCTTGCAGAAACACATGGGGGCCACCATGGCCACGAACGTCAAAGGTAAAAAGGGTAAGAAGGCCTCCAAATCTGCTCCTGCGCCCAAGGACAAGAGGGGCGCCTTTTTCCGAGTATTGGGTCGGTGGGGGCTCAGGCAACGTTCTTGTATTGGAAGAGGTCTTGGGCGCGATCGAGCATGCGGTAGATGACATTGTTGAAGATGCGAATTTCAACCAAGATTTCATGTAGCAGTGCTTGGACTTGGGCATCGCCTGGGCCTTGCAAGGTGGCACGGCGCTTGTTCCGCCGCTGGTGGATCAGCGAAAGAAGATCGATGAGCGCACTGACTTAACAAAGAATGTCCGCTTGGAGAAACAGCTTCGGAATACGTGCTGGTCTGGATTGAAAAAACAGCATATATGTACGCTGGTTTGGCAATTTCACCAGCATGCACCGTGTGAGAACATGGGGGAGGTGGTCGGCCCGAACCCAGCAGAAGTGGTTGACATGCCCACCAGCGCCCCAGAGGTCCTCTTCAATGAGAAGACGCTCCCCGGCGGTATCAAGACAGACCAGTTGAAGGAAGCAGTTGGCATGGTCGCACAGGAGCCCTTGAAGATCTACAGCAACTCCTTCACGCAGAATAAGCTGGATAATGTATATCGGCAGGTTGCGGCTCGTTCGCCTTTGGTTTTCAAGATGAGGCAGCCTGCTCCCCAGACCATGTCTTCTAACTTGCTGGAGCTCGTGACGGGTGCAGACCTGCAGACGGCTGATGTCACTTAGGTTATCGACATGGTGGGAGCTGCGGTCTTCCGTTCGTTTCCTGAGGACACGCTGCATTTCATGGCGCGTCTACTTGACGCATGTGGTGATGATGAGTCTGTCTACGGGAAGCTATCTTCCGCAGGTCAGCTGGGCGATGACCTTTCATATCCGATTCGCTGTCAGCTTGATTTCCCCAGGGAGCTTTACGCCCCAAACAACGGTTCGAAACTTGCGAGGGGAGGGGCCGGGAAAAAAAGACTTCCAGGGGCCGAGAACTTGTCGGGGGGCGAGTTGGATGTGGAAGTCATTTCAGCCCTGCGCTAGGTGCCGCAGTACTGGATCAAGCCTTGGCGATTTGGCCGACTAATTCTGATTTGAGGCTGGCGATTGCTGTCCGTGGGATCTACACAAGTGTTCTGCTGAGGGAAGTACCTGATATCATCGCAGTGGCTCCCGAAGGCTCGAAGAGCGACGCAGGTAACTGTCAAGGGGTTGCAATCGTGACCAATATCTTCAATGAGGTTACCATTGCTAAAGGCGCATAGGTCGAAATCACCGACATCGCGAGCATGGTGGAGTCCAGGGCAGTTGACCAGTCGGCGTGGGTGTCTGTATGGACGAAGGTGGTCACTGATGTGGCGAACTACTTCAAGCTTCCGAACTATTCAATCCAGCTTCGTGACATGATGCAAGACTGGGCAGCACAACTGGATGAGGAGTGCAACAAGACCGGAGTGATTAATAGAGCAAGGTTGATGGGCTGGAAGGGCAACGTGAAGGATTCCAAGCGGGACATCATCAAGTACCTTTTTGAAAAGAGGGCCGCTGATGAGAAGAAGAAGGAGATGGAGGACGACGAGTCTGGCCGCAAGAAGTTCATGGATATTCTGCTTGAGGTTATTGGTGGCAGTGGCAGCGGTCCTGATGCGCCCCCGCCGCAGCCGATCGGAGATGCCAAAGTACAAGTAGCTGATGAGCTCACGCTCGATAACTTTAACTTCGCACCCGTGAAGGTGAACGCCAATGCAGTTAAATACGATGTCAAGGCACTTGGGGACTTGTGTACGCTCGAGCTCATGAAGTTGCGGCACGTCGACGAGGGCATCTCCATGATCAAGCACAGGATTCATGCACGACCCGATGGTGATTCTATATCGTCCAAGATGTACTGCAACTTCCCATCTGGTGCTGGTACGACTTTTGAAGCTCCACTTCATTGGGAAAGTTTCTCTCTTGAAATACGGAGTGCTTCCTTCGAGCAGGCACGTCATGAAGCTTGGCACCGTGAAGATCCCCGAGGGTTCTGGTGCAGTGTTCACTGCGTGGGGAACGCCGACGACGGGCATGACGAAGTCGATCGATCCCGAGTTCGTGCCAGCTTGGGGCGTGACCAGGTTGCCCTTGCTCAACGAGAAGCTTGGCACTGAGAACGTTCCTAGCCTCAGGCTGGCCTTCCATGATGTTCAGATTCCAGCCTGCACTGCAGGCTACAGCACACCAACCATCACTCTTTCGGTGCCGTTCCTGGTGGTGAATGAGAGTATCTTCAAGATGGAGATTGGGCAGTGGACCGAGCTCACCAGGCTCGAGTTCGCTGAGGGGAAGCAGGTGAAGGAGGCTGCAGGTGCGGGCGCGAGCTTGCGCAATCGGACGCTCAAGCTCGGCGACAGCGACGAAGCGCACGCCGAGCAGGTCCTCAAGCTGGCCAAGAGGGCGGCGGCCTAGCAGGCCGGTGGGCCAGCTGCCAGTAGCCAGTAGGAGGAGGAAGGAGGAGGAGGAGGATGAAGGAGGAGGAGGAGGAGGAGGAAAAGGAGGCGGAGGAGGGAGGAGGTGAAGGGGAGGCGCTCACTTGAACCAAAATGGCCACGGAGAAGAGGACGAGGATGAGGAGGAAAGGAGGAGGAGGAGGAGGAGGAGGAGGAGGAGGAGGAGGAGGAGTAGGAGCACGAGGGGGAGGAGGAGGAAGAAGAGGAGGAGGAAACGGAGGAGGGAGGAAGTAAGGCTTCTTTTGACTTGCCCGCTGGGCCCCTAATTGTTTTAGATTCCTGAGGCCTCTTGAGGCCTTGCTGGAGGTCTCAGGTCTGAGATTTTGTGTTGCACTGCTTGAGAATTCGTGGGTGCCCAGCGGAGGAGGCCGCGAGGCGCACGGTCTGGCTGCCAGACCGTCTGGCACGAAGCTCGAGCTCGAGCGCGGGATGGGACCGCGCGAGGCGCGGGGAAAGCCCGCCTCCCTCCTCCTCCGCTTCCTCCCCCACCTCTGCTTCCTTCACCTCCTCCCCCTCCGCTTCCTCCTCCTCCTCCTCCTCCTCCCCCTCCTCCTCCTCCTCCTCCTCCTCCTCCTCCTCCTCCTCTTTCTCCTCCTCCTCCTTGGGGGGGTCCTAGGGTCGAAGATGCACCGCTTGAGGAGTTAGCAGTAGCCGTAGTAGTAGTAGTAGTAGTAGTAGTAGTAGTAGTAGTAGTAGTAGTAGTAGTAGTCAGTAGTAGTAGTAGTAGTAGTAGTAGTAGTAGTAGTAGTAGTAGTAGTAGTAGTAGTAGTAGTAGTAGTAGTAGTAGTAGTAGTAGTAGTAGTAGTAGTAGTAGTAGTAGTAGTAGTAGTGGTGGTGGTGGTGGTGGTGGTGGTAGTAGTAGTAGTAGTAGTAGTGGTGGTGGTGGTGGTGGTGGTGGTGGTAGTAGTAGTAGTAGTAGTAGTAGTAGTAGTGGTGGTGGTGGTGGTGGTGGTGGTGGTGGTGGTGGTGGTGGTGGTGGTGGTGGTGGTGGTAGTAGTAGTAGTAGTAGTAGTAGTAGTAGAAGTACTAGTAGAACCGAGTTCAAATATGGCGAAAGAAGCCTCATGGCCCTCCTTGCTGCTGCTGCGCGCTGTGCACTGCGTGCTGCTTCGCTGGGCTGGCTTCCTCATTCTGTCCCCTCCTCCTCCTACTCAACTTCCCCCCTCCCTCCTCCCCTTCCGCCCTCCTCCTGGCCCCTTTCCTCCCTCCCTCCCTCCCTCCTTTCGTCGCAATTATTACTCAAACCACCTCCTCCACTTCCTCCTTCTCCTCCGATTCCTCGTCCTCCTCCTCCTTTTCCTCCTCCTTCCTCCTGCTCCTCCTCCTCTTTTTCCTCCTCACCACTCCCGCCCGTCGCCATTTTGGCTCAAACCAGCGCTCGCAGCGCTTTCACTTTCTAGATGTTCCGTTTGTTGGGGGGCTCACTCTCACTTGCTTTCCTATGTTTGCGCGCGGGTCGCCGCGCAGAAAAGCCAGAATACCAATTTCCTGGCCCGCTTCGCAACGCTCGAAAACGGCTGCATGCGTTGGAAAACGCTGCTCCACACAGACCCAACCGAGGAGTCGTTTGAGTGCTGTTGGTTAGGTTCCCACTCCTCCCCCTTCTCCCCCTCCTCGTCCTCCTCCTCCACCTCCTCCCCCTCCTCGTCCTCCTCCTCCTCCTCGTTCTCCACATTCTCCTTACATCATCTCTTCTTCCGCGTCCTCCTCGTCCCCTTTTTACTCCTCCTGCCTCCCCCTCCTTTCCCAAGATAACGGCAACGCAATCCTTTTTTCCACTTTATGCTCCCCGACGGTCAAAGAGGGCCCCAAGACTGCACCAAGAGGGGCCCAAGAGCGGGACCAGGAACCGAAAATTCGAGCCTTCTGCCTCAAGAGAGCCCCAGGATACCCCAAGAGGCCCCCAAGAGGCCCCAAGAAGCGCCCAAGAGGCCCCCAAGAGGCCCCAATAGGCGTCCAAAAAAACCAAATGATGCCCCAAAACTGCCCCCAAGAGGCCTCAAAACAGTCTGCCAGAGGCCCCCGAGAGACCAACCACGATTATACATATTTCTTCGTCGGGCGTCTTCCCCGTCGTCTAATCAAGCCCACAACAGGCCACTCCTTCCTTGTCCCGGCCGCTCTCACCAATCATCCCCACCTCCATTTTCAAGTCGGGGTTCGTGGCAATATCAGGTTTCCACTTTATGCTCCCCGACTTCTCTGATCAAGGCAACTCGCCAGTGCAAAGTTGCTGGACGGGCTGGTGTGGATGCGCGGGGCTTGAAGAGGTCGTTGCGGGCTCAGACGGCATGCAAAAATCCGCCGCCGCGCTTGTGCGGCATTGGTTTGTTCAGTGAACGTGGTTTGGGTCGCGGGTGGGTCGCGGGTTCTCCACCTCCACCTGGAAGGAATGCAAAAGCAGCCCGCCGCAGGCGCCGAAAAATTTGGTTTGTACACTGAACGTGGTTTGGGTCGCGGGTGGGCCGCGGGTTCTCCACAGGGAACGAATGCAAAAGATGCCCGCCGCAGGCGCCGAAAAAATTGGTTTGTACACTGAACGTGGTCGCGGGTGGGCCGCGGGCTCTCCACCTGAAACGAATGCAAAAGATGCCCGCCGCAGGCGCCGAAAAATGTGGTTTGTACCCTGAACGTAGTTTGGGTCGCGGGTTGGTCGCGAGTTGGTCGCGGGGTGGGTCGCGGGCTCTCCACCTAGAAAGAATGCAAAAAAAACCCGCCGCAGGCGCCGAAAATTGTGGTTTGTACCTTGAACGTGGTTTGGGTCGAAGGTGGGTCGCGGGTGGGTCGCGGGGTGGGTCGCGGGTGGGTCGCGGGTGGGTCGCGGGTGGGTCGTGGGGTGGGTCGCGGGGTGGGTCGCGGGGTGGGTCGCGGGGTGGGTCGCGGGGTGGGTCGCGGGTGGGTCGCGGGTGGGTCGCGGGTGGGTCGCGGGGTGGGTCGCGGGGTGGGTCGCGGGTGGGTCGCCGGGCGGGTTGCGGGTGGGACGACGACAACAAACAACAACAACAAACAACAACAAACAACAACAAACAACAGCAACAACACGAATCCGCACCGCGGAATCCCATTTCAGCCACGCACCCAGGGACAGTGAATGACCGTTCGGCCCCCTCACTCTGATGTTTTTCTATAATTTTGCCCCTTGCGTATCGTCCACGGGCCCGCTCGCGAGACTCGCAGGCCAGATTTCGAGCGCGCGTCGCATTCGCAGGCCCAGTGTTGCACCGATGGTGTGAGCTACACCTGGCCTGGGAACAACAAGGCCACAAGATACGGCGGGGGGCGGCGGTGGGCGCGGCAGCTTCGAAAGGAAACACAAATAAGGAAATCGGGGGTTCGCATAGCGGGGCGCAGGAAGGGGTGGAAAGAGGGAAGGGGGGCGGCCGGACAACGAGGAAACGATGGCTAGTCGAAGCGAAAGATGATTTGCGAGCTGCCCGCATGCACCGCAATGTTTTTTCCCAGCGGAGGCCGGTAAATGTGAAGTACGCGTTGTTGCTTATGCTGGGTTCTCGCGACCACGACGGCTCCGTTCGAGGTGCGACAACGACAACGACAACGATAAACGACCACGACGAACCACGACGGACGATGACGACAACGGACGACGACGACCGACGGCGGCGAAAACAGACGATGACGACAACGCCGACGACGACAACCCCGACGACGAACGATCGCCAACCGACGACGACGACCAGCGACCACCAACCGACGTCACCGACGACGACGACGACACCGACGATCAACGACCGCCCAACGACGACGACGACGACGACGACGACGGACGTAACTGTCAACCTACTGTATACACCACATAAACTGGTTTCCACCACGCAACAGAGTATCGGTGTATACTTCTGAGAACCTACAGTCAACCTGGATAATAAGGATGCGCGATAAGGATGCAAAGGGCCCTGGAAAGCCATGTTGACGTTGTTCGAGCAGGGCGCAGCTACATTCCGAAGGAAGCAAGGGCACCCTAACGCAACCCCATCCTTTCGGTACTGCCGCCTGGGCCACGAGCAAGGACAACGCAAGGAAGAGGGTGATGATCCTGATAACAAGTATGATGACGACGATGATAAGGATAACGATGCTGACGATGATGATGATGATAGTGACAATGATAATGATGCTGTTAACGATGATGATGAAGATAATGATGACGACGATGATGATACTGATGATGATGGTGATGATGATGATGATGCTAAGGATGATGACAATGATGACGATGATGATGTCATTGACGATGCTGGTGATGTTGACTGACGATGGTAATGACGATGATAATGACGATTATTACGATGATGACGATGACGATGACGACGGTAACAGTGATAACGATACTGACGATGATGGCGGTCGTGACGATCATGATAATGTTGCCGATGACGATGCTGATGATGACGATGCTTACGATGATTATGACTGGGACCGAGCTCGGACCGAGCGATGATGATGATAACGATGGTAACGAAGATGATGATGAGGAGGATGAGGATGAGGATGCGGATGAGCGTGATATTGCACTGAGGATGCGGATGACGATGGGGATGATCATGACGAGGAGGTTAAGGATGATGATGATGCTGATGGTGCTGACAAGGAGGCTGATGATGCTGATGATGATGGTGATGAAGACGATGAAAATGATATTGAGGATGATGCTGATAATGCTTATGATGACGACTGGTGTTGATGATGATGATAATGACGATGATGTTGTTGACGATGGTGACGATAATGATGCTGACGATGATGTGAATAACGATGATGATGACGTTGATGATGACGATGCTGATGATGACGATGGCGATGATGCTGACGACGATGAAAATGGCGCTGGTGATGATCCTGATGATGATACTGATGATGTTGAACATGGTGATGATCATGATAATGACGATGATGATGACGCTGATGGTTATAATGCTGATGATGAAAATG